GCGGCGCTACCCGCTTGAACGACAGCGCCGACTGCGCAGAAGACAGAACTAAGCTAAACTAAGAACGGAGGTCGAGGGACTCAACAAATGACAGCGAAACGATAATCAGAACAGGAACTAAGTTTAATAAAATATAAAAAGTGAATTATAAAATATTAAGAATTACAATCTTTATAAATTCAGCTTATATTTTGGAACATTGTATAATTGTAATACACTTTTCTGAGTTTTTTGTGTTTTTCCATCGATTTTTTGATCCTACATATACTTTGCTCTGCCAACTCCAGCCTCAACAGATTAAATTATTTATTCTTCACGCAGGGACCTGGCGTACTTTCACCCAGAGATATCTGGCAACGCTTTGCCATTTTCTGGTATTTCGTCGACCTGAGTACCGGGATAAGAAAAGGCACTGACGAAAAGTGTACGCCGGTTATTTGCCTTCCGCTCTCTCATATTTGGCGGACGGATTTCGTCGATCTTAGTACTAGGCTTTAGGAACCAAATGATATTCGTCGGGATATACGGATACACTAAAATTTATGGATTAATTTGGATTTCAGGAACAAAATAAAAATTGCATGTACGGGTGGCCCACGAAAGATTTGCGTTTTAAAATCACTATAAAAAACAACAAGTATATATTTTTCAATTTTTTTTTTTTATTGGACAACATTGAGGCTTATGTATAAAACACCACTTCATTCATATGACTGCCTCGACTGGCTTTACAGTAGCCCATCCGGTCGACCCAATTTTTAAACACATTTTCGATGATATGGCCCTCAATGGCCCTGATGGCGACTTCAATCACGTCCTTTAGGTAGTCAATCGTCTCTGGGTGGTTGGCGTAACACTTATCCTTGACGGCACCCCACAAAATAGTCCTACGGGGTCAAATCGCAGCTGCGAGGCGGCCAGTTGACATCGCCGTTTCGTCTGACTATGCGATTTTCGAACGTACCGCGCAAAAATTCGATTGTGTCGTTGGCTGTGTGGCACGTAGCGCCGTCCTGCTGGATCCATAAGTCGTCTTTGTCCTCCTCTTCCATTCGGGGAAAGAAAACGGTTTCTAACATTTCGCGATAGCGGACACCATTAACGGTTACGGCAACTCCTTCCTCGTTTCCAAAGAAAAACGATCCAATTGTGTAACCCACATACCGCACCAAACAGTCACTCGTTGTGGATGCATTGGCTTCGCCAAGATGACGTATGGATTTTCTGAACCCCAAATGTGACAGTTTTTAACATAACCACCGAGGTGGAAATGGGCCCCATCAAAAAACACGATTTTTCGGTAAAATTGGTCATCTTCGACCAAGCGTTCCTGAGCCCATTCCGCGAACCGAAGACGCATTGGATGGTCATGCGGCTTAAGTTGCTTAACCATCTGAATCTTATATGGCCTTAGACGGAGGTCTTTGGTTAAAATCCGTTGCAGGGAAGTGCGCGAAATGTCCAACTCTTGAGCACGGTGCCGAGTTGACGTCGACGGATTGTCATTGAAACTTTCGGCCACCGCAGCGATATTTTTGACCGACCGAACTGGACGAGCACGTAAACGTGTAGTTTTATCCATCAACGATCCAGTCTCACGCACACGCTATGTCTAAAATTATATACGCACGCAGCGGGAACACAGTAAAAAACAATTTTGTAGGAAAAACATAGTTAGGAATGCTTCACTGTGTTTCACGCTGTGGTATAATATTTTATCACATACTTGGAACTTGATGTTTATTTTGTGGAAAAGTTCCGGTGAACTGCACTGATATATTTTCGATGATATGATATGAGCACAAGACAAATGAAAAATATATAAATATTAGATGCCGTAATGTCGGACTAAATCTGACTTAAATTTTGACAAAATCATACAAAAAGCCAAACGAAATGAGCTTCGATAAACTGACTGTATGACTGACTGACTGCATAATAAAATGGATATCACTTATCTGAAAGGGTTCAAGCCTCCGAAACTGCTGGATCAAATCCGGCTCGAAGGACCAAATCTCGGGGTGAGGTGGTCGCATCTTTAGGTTGGAATAGAATGATGAAACCGATTCCCACGTGGGAATGCAAAAATAAATGACAGGACAATTTTGTGGCTTTTGCGCGACGTGCGGGTGTTTATTAGAACTTGTAAATAGGAACTGCTTAAGCTCAACTTAACTAGCGCTCTCCAGAGCGAACCGGAGACCTGGGGGAGAGTTTAAGAGTGACAGAAAATACAAACGCTTACTTGGCATGAACAAGTAGTAACTCTAGAATTCTGTTCTAACTTTAGGACTTACGTGGAAACACATTAGTTTTTATCTTTGAATTCACCTTTCCAAGTTCTCCGACGAAACTATGAGATTCGATGCAGTCATAGGCCGATGACAAACGTCTGTAAAATAAAATAATCTACTGCACTCCCTTGTGTAATGCAATCGACATCTGTTTGTTTTGGCATTCAGTGTCCTCTTGTTCAAAATTTAAAGGAAAAGTAAAAATCGGAACTATTGGATTTGTTAGAAGCAAATATTTCACCTCTTTTTTTATTAAATGGTATGGACTAGTGGTTAAATGATTATCTAAGCTTTTAAAAAAAGGCTTACATCTGTATACAAATTACCTGTATATACTAAAAAATACTTCTTATTCCTTATTAAATTTTTTGGCTTCGAACTTAACAGTGTGTACATTTTTAATATGCTTTTGAAACTAATTTGGAGTTCCACTGAGCAACTGACCGGTATTTACCATCTCCGGACACAAATTATTTTTAGGCATTGTTTAATTATTTTTCAGCTTCTACTTACCGTTATTTTTTTATTACACAAGAGAAATTATTCATTTGCCGCACAGCCTGTTTCGGGAGGCGGTATAGCTCGTCGGGGCCAGGGTTCGAGACAGAAATTTATTTCCTTTCCCCAATAATGACACAAGGAAAGAAATATATAAAGTATATTTATTTTTTCTACGGTTGGATAAAACTAAAGGATGATCAGTGATTTCGATGGTTGTCTTGGTGTGCCTATTCCCCCTTATTGATGTTCCCTCGAAGTTCGTCGGAACGAATGTGACTGGTCTGGAAAGCTGTAAACCAATCGACGATTCCTATTGCCTTTTCCCCCTTATTGATGTTCCCTCGATATTATCGATGGCGGCCGTGGTGCGTGTCAACATCAATGATTTTCGTCACAATAGAGTGGAACAACCAAGCCTGGTGCATACTCGACGGAATCTGAGAGGATGTTTAGCAAAGCCGGCCAAGTAAAAGTCAGACAGAAGGGCCTTCTTAAAGCTAGATCATTTAAACATCTGAAACAATCTTTTAAGCCAAATTATTTCTTTTGCAGCTTCATTGGCTGCTACGATCTCAGCCTCTGTAGTAGAAATGGCCACCATAGCCTGCCTTTAACTTTTCCATGAAATGGCTCCTGAGGCAAACATGATGATGATCCCTGATGTAGACCTCCCAGTCTTCGTGCATCCACCAAAGTCAGCATCGCTGTAGCATTCGAGGATTCCCTTCTTCTGTTTCCGATAGACTATCCCAACGTTTATTGTACCGGAAATGTAACGGAAAACCCTCTTCACTTGTGCAATGTATTCTTTTGCATGATTTTCAAGCGTTCTTGAAAGAAATCCGATGCTGAAAGCCAAGTCTGGCCTAGTTCCAAGCATGAGGTACATGAGAGCTCCGATAGCTTGGCGATAAGGGAACGCAGTTGTCTCTGATTCTTTTCCTGCTGTCGTAATTCCCAAATTCTTGTGGCATATGCTTGTTGACTAATTTTTAGTCCATTTTCTTGTTTCTTGATTTCGAGTCCCAAGAAGCACTCAGCCTTGCTTGAGACAATTTTGAACTCTGATTTTAACTCGTCCAAAAATTCTTCCAAATCTTGCGTATCTGTTGCTGCGGCGAGTCCGTCATCTACGTAAACAACGAGTAGAATCTTTTTACCATTCCTTTCCCTGATGTAGAGACATGGATCTGCCTCGCTGACTTTGAAATTGTGTTTCCGCAGGAAACCTCCTAGGCGTTCATGCCAACATTTCGGCCCTTGCTTTTTCCACTCGACGTTGCTGTTGATGGCTTCATGGAAGGAATCTGGACTCTCCAGCACAAAATTCTCGGTTGCTGCTGCGTAGTCATCCAGATGCTCCGGTCTCTTCAACTTCGAACGATCCCTCAACCGCAATGGTTGCATTTTTCTCTTGTTGTTTTTTTCGTCAAAGCTTGTTTCTACTCCGTTTGCGTATTTGTCTTCGTCCTCGCTCTTGTGCAAGCTCACGTCTTCTTCTTCCTTGTCTTCTACGACGTCCTTGGATCCAAAATCTTGAAAAGCTAGGTTGACGCCTGGTTCACAATTGCTGAATTTCTCTTGAAATTTTACGTCCCTCGACACGACTACTTTGTGCTTCTCTGGTAAGTAAATACGATATCTCTCATCTCCGTCGTAACCCACCAGGTACCCCTTTTCAGCTTTTTCGTCCATCTTCTTCCTTTTTTGGCATAGAATGTGTACATAGCACGTCGATCCTACGATTCGAAGATGTTTGATTCTTGGTTGGTAAGGGCTCAGACCCTTCAATGAAGATTTGCCCGTCCTATTGAGAACGTAGACTGCTGTGCTGATCAACTCGGCCCAAATTGCTTCTGGAAATTTTATTTCTGGATTAGAATACTTGAAAGTTCTCGCCGTTTCGACTATCGTTCGATTCTCACTCGACCCCACCGTTTTGTTCTGGAGTATAGGGAGCGGTGAGTCGAAAAGTTATACCAGCTTCCTGAAGAGTTTCTCTCACTCTTGCACAGTCGAATTCTCCTCCATTGTCGCTCAGGAATTCTCGAATTGTATGCCCTTGTTACTTGGAGTGAGAAACCATGTTTCGCAGCACGTCCTTGACCTCTGATTTCTGCTTGACGATGTACCTGTATCGAAACCTGGTGAAATGATCCTTTAAAATTACCAGATACCTCTTTTTCTGGAAAGAATCCTCAAATGGGCCGCAAACATTGCCTGACATCAGTTCCCCTGGCTTCATCGCTGGTTTCCTCGTTCCAAATGGCAATCGATGCGCCTTTCCAAGGATGCAAGGCTCGCAAAAGCTACTCTCAAGCTTGACTTGAATGCATGTCTCTTTTGAGCATGTCCTTGATGTGGTTCTTGTCCTGATGTCCCCACCTCTCGTGATAGAGTTGGATAATTGAAGTTCCTGAAGTTGCGACGTTGACATCGACGTTTCGTTCTGGTAGTATGGGCTCGATCGCTGCTCTGTAGAGTGTTCCTCCAATTTCTCTGGCTCCAACGAGGACAATCTTGTCGTTTATTTTGAGGGTGCACTTGGTTGCTGACGACTCAAAACGACTACTTGGATTATTGTCTTGGGCAGCCAAAACTGAAATCAGGTTCTTCGTTATATTGGGAACAAACCATACATTTTTCAAAGAAAGAAAAAGAATTTTACCATTGACAATTGTTTTGACTTTGATTGTGCCCTGGCCCAAAGCTGGCAAGGTTTCATTTCCATCTGCTCTGATCCAACTCGGATTCTCAAACTTCTCAAAATGCTCGAAATACTTCACAGTCTTCACAACGTGTTTTGTTGCACCGTTGTCTATCCACCAGTCGACCTCTGAGTTTGCCTCTGATGCAAACACGCTATTGTGGACTGAGACAAGAGTCAACGTTGGTTCTGCACAATTTCCTTGTTCAGCATTCTGGTAGCTCGGCTTCGGATGTCCATCCTTTTTCCATTTTTGCAGTTCCTGATCCAGTGTCCCTTTTTCTTGCAATTGTGAATGGTATAGAATCTCCGACCAGATGCTCCTGAATCCTGACGATGCTCCTTTTGTGCTGTGGTAGAAAAAGCCTCCTGGCTTTCCTTTTTTCTCTCAAACATGACAATTTGATTAGTTAATTCGTCGAAAGTCTTTTCTTCTTCTTTTATCAAGAGCATCCAACTTTGACGGAACGTTTCTAAGGTTTTTGGAAAAAATGTAGCGTTTTACAAACAAGTTTTATATCTGGCAGCTCGGTTTCATTTTTAGCCTTCAAAGCTTGATTTAAATCGTTCCATAGACTACGCAATTTTGCTATGTGGGTTGATACATCGTTACCTGGATTCCAAGAGAAAGCGAAAAACTCGTTGCATATCCTGAATACCTTGTCCATCGGTGTTGCTTCAAACTGATTTTTCAGGGCTTCCCACGTATCGTGTGCTGTCTCCTTGTCCATGATCTTCTGGTACGCCGAGTCCGTGACCGCAGTGGTAATCATGGATTTTGCATAGCTGTTGGCCTTACGAAAAAAGTCGCTCTTCTCCTTGTGCTTCTTTTCATCTTCGGTTGAGGCACCTTCTGGCAATGGATACGGTTTGACGATCTTTCCGTCCAACGCGTCGAGAGCACCGTCGTGATAATCTATCAGGTCCCTAATTTTTCCTTTCCAAATCGGCCAATCGGTCGCACCGCAATTTTGTTCATTGATTGGAGTTGACGACTAAACGGAATAAAAAACGAGACTAAAATGTATACGAAATATTTGTTACCATTTAAAGGTAACAACTGAAAACCTTTAAACGTTAAAATTAGCGGGATAAACACAATATAATAAAAAAAACAATTTAACATTAAAAAGGCAGTGTGGCCGTGAACTTATTACCAAAAAAACCTTAAGGAGTATCCATATATTTGTCTCTGTCTCTGAGCTTCAATGAATTCGTCAATGAATGAGGCCAACAATGTAGTGTCATACCCGTATAACAAAATATTATTAATTATCGGTATTTTTTCTAAACGATTCAGGCAAATGTCTTCCACTCGCAATTATTCATGTCATTTAGTTAAAATGGGCATTTAGCCTCATGGTGATAACTGTTAAAATATAGGTTTTATAAGTTAATACCCTAAAAATAGAACAAAATAAAAACTAAATAAATAAAACTTATTGCCCACTTGCAATATAATTGTCCAAAAAAACCAAACAATTTCCTGAACTGTTTACCAGCATCCGCATTCGACGACAGAAAACTGCAATAGTGCTGAGCTTTCCCCCACCTGCGTTTCCAACACCACACAAGTTCGAGTGCGCTAAACTGTGGCCAAAAAACCCAGCCGCCAGCTTCCGTCGCTGTCGCGGCCACCGCCGCTGCCACGATCGACAATGCTTCTATAGGTTTCATTCTTTGTACGATCTATTATTAAAATCAGTCTAAATTTAAAGGTCAAATAAAAACTATCTTTAAAATTTAAAATTCGAAAAAATTTATTTTTTGCAAAAAATTAAATTATATGTTTTGATGTGCCAATGGAATCAGGCATAAGGCTTCTGTGACTGAAGGATTAGTTACACTTGTGTTGCTTCATTGCGTCATTGCGTATGTAGCCAGACGCAGTTTTTTTACATAGGTTTTGTATATGCAGATGAAGATCCACCACCCACAGTCCATCAAAAGTCACAGTGGCGTTTGCAGAATTTTTTGAGGGTCATGATGGCTATCTTTGTTTCTGTGAACCAGAGGCTTTGTCGCAAGAGATATGGGAGCTTGGGAGGTTAACGCATCCCCTAAAATTGGAATACAGAGTAGATAAAGGTCATTATATTAAAGTTCAAAAAACATTGAACCACTAATTCTTAGCATTAAAATTAAAAAGAAGCAGGAAAAACATATTATAAAACAGTTTGATAGAGTTTAAGACAGTTTCGCTCTGTGGGACTGGGCTATAAACGACTGAATCTCAATTGAGGGAACAATTTGGGTATTTCTGAAACGTCTGAATCTCTGAATTTCTAAAAATTCAGCAGAAATATACTGAAATTCAGTCAGCTGTTCGTCAGCTGCTTTTATTTGCCTTTCCCAAATTTTTTTTGTAGCGTTTTACAAACAAGTATTAAATCTGGCAGCTCAGTTTGATATAAATCGTTCCATAGACTACGCAATTTTGCTATGTGGGTTGTTACATCGTTACCTGGATTCCAAGAGAAAGCGGAAAACTCGTTGCACATCCTGAATACCTTGTCCTTCGCTGTTGCTTCAAACTGATTTTTCAGGGTTTCCCACGTATCATGTGCTGTCTCCTTGTCCATGACCTTCTGGTACGCCGAGTCCGTGACCGCAGTGGTAATCATGGATTTTGCATAGCTGTTGGCCTTACGAAAAAAGTCGCTCTTCTCCTTGTACTTATTTTCATCTTCTGTTGAGGCACCTTCTGGCAATGGATCCGGGTTGACGATCTTTCCGTCCAACGCGTCGAGAGCACCGTCGTGATATTCTATCAGGTCCCTAACTTTTCTTTTCCTAATCGGCTCGCACCTGAGAGTTTCGTGACGTGCTTCGCCAAATCCATTGTAATCGATCAAAATTTACTTTTTTCTTTTACTTTAAACTGAACAAAACGTTCCTGGGCCCATAACCTATTATAACTTTTACTTCTTTAGTTATTTAGGCCAGTAAATAAACGATATTTCTTGAAAATTAAACTCATGTTTAATTACTCTCTTCAACATCAGTTTAGGTTATATTCGGCCAGTATGTCCGCAGGAAAGGTGAAATATACCACATTTGATATATCTTTTTGAATTTGAAACAATTATCTTCAACACTTGCCAGTGTAGTGTTTTTTAGCGGTTTTTCTGTGCAAGCCGTAACAGGAATTTCTAGACATGCTCTTGTCTTTAGTAAGTTATTTGCAAAATAATTTGTATTTTCGAAAAAAATCAAAAATTAATTCATCCTTGCGTAGAACAACAAGCTGTTGTAGTGGTGGCACTAATGGGGTTATGACATGGCCTCTTTCATTCCTCATTTATTTTTTTAATTAATCGATTTTACGTAAGTGCGAGCAGGAGAAACGTATGACGATTCCAATAAGCAACGAATGGAGAAAATTGACAGAACCCGAGACCCGATAGTAATATACTAGACGGAATTTGGGCAACAAAAATAGCATTCGATAAAATACCACCGGGGCCGAGAAATCAATGAGCATTTTATTTAATAAGTACAATTTTGTTCATTGATTGGAGTTGACGACTAAACGGAATAAAAAACGAGGCTTAAATGTATACGAAATATTTGTTACCATTTAAAGGTAACAACTGAAAACCTTTAAACGTTAAAATTAGCGGGATAAACACAATATAATAAACAAAACAATTTAACATTAAAAAGGCAGTGTGACCGTGAACTTATTACCAAAAAACCTTAAGGAGTATCCATATATTTGTCTCTGTCTCTGAGCTTCAATGAATTCGTCAATGAATGAGGCGAACAATGTAGTGTCACACCCGTATAACAAAATATTATTAATTATCGGTATTTTTTCTAAACGATTCAGGCAAATGTCTTCCACTCGCAATTCTTCATGGCATTTAGTTAAAATGGGCATTTAGCCTCATGGTGATAACTGTTAAAATATAGGTTTTATAAGTTAATACCCTAAAAATAAAACAAAATAAATAAAACTTATTGCCCACTTACAACATAATTGTCCAAAAAAACCAAACAATTTCCTGAACTGTTTACCAGCATCCGCATTCGACGACAGAAAACTGCAATAGTGCAGAGCTTTCCCCCACCTGCGTTTCCAACACCACACAAGTTCGAGTGCGCTAAACCGTGGCCAAAAAACCCTGCCACCAGCTTCCGTCGCTGTCGCGGCCACCGCCGCTGCCACGATCGACAATGCTTCTATAGGTTTCATTCTTTATACGATCTATTATTAAAATCAGTCTAAATTTAAAGTTCAAATAAAAACTATCTTTAAAATTTAAAATTCGAAAAAATTTATTTTTTGCAAAAAATTAAATTATATGTTTTAATGTGCCAATGGAATCAGGCAAAAGGCTTCTGTGACTGAAGGATTAGTTACACTTGTGTTGCTTCATTGCGTCATTGCGTATGTAGCCAGACGCAGTTTTTTTACATAGGTTTTGTATATGCAGATGAAGATCCACCACCCACAGTCCATCAAAAGTCACAGTGGCGTTTGCAGAATTTTTTGAGGGTCATGATGGCTATCTTTGTTTCTGTGAACCAGAGGCTTTGTCGCAAGAGATATGGCAGCTTGGGAGGTTAACGCATCCCCTAAAATTGGAATACAGAGTAGATAAAGGTCATTATATTAAAGTTCAAAAAACATTGAACCACTAATTCTTAGCATTAAAATTAAAAAGAAGCAGGAAAAATATATTATAAAACAGTTTGATGGAGTTAAAGACTGTAGGAACACCAGTCCACCAACCATACAAAATCCGAACAGTTTCGCTCTGTGGGACTGGGCTATAAACGACTGAATCTCAATTGGGGGAACAATTTGGGTATTTCTGAAACGTCTGAATCTCTGAATTTCTAAAAATTCAGCAGAAATATACTGAAATTCAGTCAGCTGTTCGTCAGCTGCTTTAATTTGCCTTTCCCAAATTTTTGCATTAGCTTGTGCGAAAGTGCTGAAAAAATTAGAGAATATCATATATATGGTAATTACTTCCAACTCAGTTTTAACAGAAACGAGCAACAATATTTAAAGGAGCCTCTTGGCTTCTGAGGTGCTGAAACTTTTGATGGTTGAAATTGTAGGGCACAGCTGGCTGAAGTTCAGCAATTCAGAGGTACGATAAGCTCATTAGCTTAGTAGTTGGAAAAAATTTGGTACGGGAAGTTCTGGCCAAATGTGAATTGGCTATTATGGACCAAGGTATGGTGCGAACAGGAAAAAAAAAGTGTTGAAAAACTCTTGCGACCGTTGGTATTCATCTTCTTTTTTCAGTCTGTGTTTTAATTATCTGCTGATTGGTTAGCGATGTCTGATTAAAAATATAAAAGTATACAAAAAGTGGGCTGTACTGTGTGTGCATTCTTGCAGTGGCAGCCGAGGAATAAACGGAAAATTTTCTTGGGATAGCGAAGCGGAAAAAAATATCCCATCATTACTTGGCATTTGGCTTTCAATCAAAGATTGGTTTAATGTCTTCAACCGAAGTAACGTCGAGGCTGCTAATCCTAGCGCAAAAGGTTAACAACTTTTACTTGACAGGTAATCAATAGTCACTGCAATGGCTTGAAAAGCTCTTAGCCGTATGTGTTTCACCGCAAAATTAAGATTTTCACCTGGAACTGCCACGAAAGACAAAATTTTGAACATGATGTTTATCGATGGTTATTTAGTGCGTGTGTCTTATTGTGCGAGTAATTTTTTTGATCTTCAGCGGCACATCCTGACTTTTATTATTTTGGTAACAGTCCAATCGTGCATAGAACATAAATTTTCCTTTTCACAAAAACTTAATTTTTTAAATGAGAAGAAGATAATGATTGCAAAATAGCTCAGCTGCAACTGTTTTGTGCAAAATCTAAGACACCATAAAATAAAAAAATAATCATAAGAAACAAGACTACGCCAGGAGCCAATAAGACTTTCACCGTATTACATCTTATTCGGTTAAGCTTGTCTAGCAACATCAAAAAAATTAGCAAACAAACCCAAACCAATCTCTTATGCAAGATCACTTTAACACCCTTGCAGAGGGTGGTATGATTTCTGTCAGAAATTTGCAACGCAGTTTCCGACCCTATAAAGTAATAATATCGAACCAAAACACCTGTTAAAAACTATATATTTTATTCGATTTGATATCAGAAAAATAAAGTAAAAATCGATGTTATAATTATACCCTTGTAGTGGTTATTATAATTTCAGTCAGAAGTTTGCAACGCAGTGAAGGAGACGTTTCCGATCCTATAAAGTATATATATACTTGATCAGCATCACTAGTAGAATCGATCTAGTCGTCTGTCCGTCCGTTTCTGCTATCTGCATGAAATTTTCCCAAAAGTTGTCTTTCTATTGCAGGTAGTATATTAGTCGGATCGAGCCGGATCGGACGACTATAGCATATAGCTCCCATAGGAACAATCGGATATAGTAATGGTTAAATATTTCAGAATTACGGTTTAAATTTCATCAAATTTGGACGAGGTCCTATAGGAACAATCGGAAAAATAATTAAAAAAATTATAACTTTGCTGTTTTTTAAAATTTTTGTTTTCTTCTTCGACATATTTAAATTTCATCAAAATCTGACGACTATATCATATAGCTCCCATAGAAATAATAAAAATATATTAAGTAACTATCTAATAATTGAGCTGCAAATCATCATATTTTCAATGTTTTTAAACAA